ACGCTCCCTCATGGCCGTCTGTTGGGTTCACTGCGATACAAAGCACATGAACAACAATGAACGGCTATGACCAACGAGGGCCATAAACAGATAGCAGCAGGAAGGGGGGAAGAGAACAGAGATAGCATCTGGTTAAGGTAGGGCGGCGGATGTTGGCATTTCTCCGCTTGGTTTGGTTAACTTGGATCATGTCACAAATTAGTAAGTCATTTTGTTTACCCATTTAGCTGCCTTAAACTCGGTCCGTCGGCCGTTTTGTGCCCCAATAAACAGCATCATCTGACTGACCTCTGCCCTCTGGGAGGTCCTCCAGTGGCAGTGGCAGTGGCAGTGGCAGTGCCAGTGTTTTTGTTTGAGTTTTATTAGGATGCTCTTCACTTTCGGCTCTATTGCCCTCAATATATCTGCCCGTGCCACACAATTCCTGGTCTCACATTTCATCCGACAAGTGCTCGCACGAGCAGGAATATGAGTTCGAGGTATGAGTATGAGGTATGAGTATGAGTTCGAGTGTTTGTTCTGTCTGGCATTTTGGGCTTTTGGCTTTTGGTTTTGTGTGCTTCGATTTTTGGGGCTCTTTGCTGGATTTTTGTCTTAGGACATTTATGAGCTAAACAGATTTTGGCTCCTCGTGCCTTGGGGCTTCTTTACAACTCGTATTAATTATGAATGTTATTTAGTATCTCTCTGTCTCTGGATATTTGTTTTACATTGTTGTTTTTGGGTTATTCATAGATTGCCGCCCTATGGCATATTTACATGTGTACTGTACACTTTAAAGGAACATTTACTCCAATAACTGTCTACCTGTCAGTGTGTTCCCTTAGTCGCCTAGTCCCACCCTTCTTTTCGAACGAGTTGAATGAACAGTTTTTGCTGCTTATCTTTCCCTCGCGCCAGTCGGCTAACGGAAAGCTCACGCAGCTCACTATTGTGCATGTTCGTTCATGTTCACTGTCAGGGTCCGATTTTTCGGCAGACGCATTCCTCTATCTCTATCACACCCACACACACTCATTTATCTACCCCACACTCTCCTTCTCTTTGCTAATGAATTCGTTTCCAATGCAAATTTCCTTTCGAAAAACACCTCAAAGCGTCAAATGAAATGCAAACAAATATACAAAATACCGAAAGATGATGGTGCGTAAACAAAACACAGCAGAGACCAAAAAGCCAACGACAAGGTGCGTAAAGCAGAAGGTGAGAGAACACAGCCACTATGAGCAGCGTGATCCGAAGAGAGAGGGAGAACACAACACCTTTTGGAAACACCCCCTGGCACTGAAGAGCAGCATAAACAGTTCTCTGCTGCTAAAAATATACAAATGCACAAGGAGGGGAGAAGGGAGGTGTGCAAAGAAGAATACGCGTGGGTGTGCGAGAGTGAGAGCCCAACTATATTTATAGAGAAGTAACTGTAAAGACCTGTTGTGGGAATGGCAGATGGTGAATGGGGGATGGGAGATGAAAGAAGTAAAGCAAAATGCTAGCAGCTGTGTTGTTGCCCAGCTTAATGAATGAATATGCATGAGAATCCTCTCTCTAGTCTTCCCAATCAAGGTAGCAAAATCGGACTCTGCGGTTACCCAAGCTCAGGCAAAACAAATTTGTATGGAGTGGCAATGCCTTCCCACCTTCTATTCAATAAACCCTCCCCATTCACTCATAAAGTGTTCTTCCCTATCTGCTCCATTTACACATGTCGCCGCCTAATAAGCTGGAGGGCGAGCGAGCGAGCGAGCGAGCGAGAAGGGCGAATTGGCGCAGTTCTCCCCCTCATTAATTTGCTTCGCTTATCAATTTTTTGTTGTGTTTTTCGATTACCTTCTTCTTTTTTGTTTGTGCTGGCAAAAAGTTTATCCTGCCGCTGTGGCTGTTGTTCTTTCTGCTGGCACAATATTTGCCAGACCATTAGCGCCATTAACATAATGAATTGCCATTGTACTGGGAATATTGAATAGCGCCACGAACCAGAAACGATCCCCAAATGAGCCGAGCCAGAAACGAACCAGAAACCGCATCGAATCGAGCCTCACACTGTTTACCCGCCTTTTACCTGGAGAGGTATGCAAATATCAAGGGGCTGTGGGCGCCGAACGGGTTGACGAAATTGATTTAGAAATTTGAGTTATTTGAGAGTGAAGTGCTGACAACAGTTGTGCCATTTTTCTACCCAAATGCAGGCAAATAACTCGCAATCCATTGTCTAACAATGATAGATTTGTTTCCCCCGCTTGCAGTTGTACAAGTATTTCCCGTTCTGCTACATTTCGTGATTAATCATTTGATTTAGCCCACGAAATGGCGAATTTTTGATTGATTACCACTTCAGCTGTTGCCTGGATGCCCCCCAGGGCGTGGATGCTCCGTTCAACAGTTCAAGCCAATTAAAGCCGTTTCGCGGGTATCCTGCGATGAGTATCTGTCATCACTTGAACGTCTTCCTGTCAGGGATCTATGCATAACCTAGGAGACTGAGGTCTGGGGTCTCTGAGTGGCTGATATGCAGTCACAAGTGTTGAATGTTGGCGAGGACATTTATGAGCAGAGTTTTCAATTGGCGGGGCAACAGCCTCCGGTATTTCCTACTCCCACTTCCCGCAGTTTGGCTTGAGGAAACTTTTCTACTCTCCAGTTTTTTCTATGCGGAGAAAACTTTCGGCGACTTTTGGCACCGCACTGCAGCCTCTCCTTCCCGCTGCTCTCCTCTCCGGTAGTTCTGCTGAAAAGTTTGCCTAATTGATGCTGGCCTTGTCCAGCCTTTTCCTGCTGCATATTTGATGGGGACACAACTGAAATTGGTTTTCCAGTTACGATTGAGAGGATTCCATTGCGTGAGGGAGCCCATTCAGACCTAATGAAGTGTTCAATTGAGCAAACTCTGACCTTCATCAATGAACTCAGTCGATTCCTGCTATTCCACACAAACATCCACTTCTCATTTGGGAAATTAGGAAATATGACTTACAGTTTATATTATGAGCACTCATCCTCTCGCTCTTTGCTGTCTGCTCTTCTCGTGTCTCTGCGGGTGGCCGTGGCCACCAAAACACACAAGAAAATGCTCAGCTAAGTGGAAAACAAAGAACTTTTTTAATGGCAAAGTGATTCAGGAATTGTTCAACAGAAATTTTAGTTGCTTCTTGTGGGTACCCTGTAGTCGTAGGGTATACATTTTCAGTCTAGAAAAGCATTAAATAAAACATAAATATCATGGGTCTGTCTAGTACTTCCATATGCAAATCTGGTTGTGGCTCTTTGTGTTTTTGTTTTTATTATCAAAATCTCCTCCCTACTACAGCAATATTCTTTCCCCACCCATCTATCCTTTCTGGTTCTTGTTTTGTTACCCGATAGGCTGTTTTCGCGGCTCTGTCTTTCCAATTTTCACATTTTCACATTCAATTTTTCAATTTCTGTTTAACAATTTTCCAATTTTTCATTTCTCGTTTTTTTTGTGTGTGTTTTTGGCTACAACAAAACAATTTGTTTATAGCACGCGGCGCGTTGTGTTTTTGACATATTTATGCCGGTGGCCAGGCACTTGTGTGTGCCCCTGCCCCTGCCCCATTTACACTCTCTCCTTTTGTGGCATAGCCCCTTTTCCGCTTGCCACGCCTCCTCAAGATGTGCTGGCAAAGTTTTTTGCCCGCCGCCGCTGGCTAAACTCAAAAGCCGACAAAAGGCCAAAGACGACGATGATGTTGGGGAAATTCGAAGAGCCAAGGATCCCTGGGAGCCAAGCGGCCAAGCAGCAAAGGAGCTAAGGAACGGCTTTAAGACTCTGCTCCAGTCCCAGAATGGAAGTGTTTCCACGGACTGCTTTTCCCTTTTCTCCGCCTCTGATGGCTTTTCCTTTGCTGTTTTAGCTGTTGTCTGTGGCACAGTTTTCCTTTGAATCAGCCAATAATAAGGGGCATATGGACTATGAAGAGAAGATAGTCGGTTGAGCGATCCCAATCTCCCCCTCCCGCAACTTGATATTTTATTTTGCTGCTGCTGCTGCTTGTCGCTTTATTTGTGAGCAATATTTTCTGCCACCCATTAATAGCAGATTATCTCTCTGGCTCGTTATAATCTTTTCCTCATTTGCATTTACTTATCGAGTTTATTTTTATGGAAGCGAAGGGAAGAGCATTAAAAGTACGCTTAATCGGAGATAATTTCTTTACAATTTCTTTCGCCTGCGTTTTGTTTCATTACAAAAATTTCAACAAACAATCTGAAGTCGCTCCCTTACACTCTTTTGCTCTTTACCCACTCTTACCTTTGCAATCTTGCCCTCTCTCTTCCCTCTGCTGTCTTCGCTTTGCTGTTTTCGATGGGAGCGTCGCGTGTCTGGAGAGCATTTCGTGCTGCTCTTAAGTGGGCCGGCACCCAAAAACAAAACCCAAAAGCAAAGACAGAAAGAGAGTGAGACGCGGAGTGGGAGTGGGAATCCACAAAAAGTAGATACCGTATATTTATTGGCAGCGTCAGTGTGCGGAAAGGGAGTGAGGTGAGTGACGGAGGCGGCGGCAGCGGCTTATTTTGTAACTGTATTTTGTCGGCGGTGCGGTGGCAGATTTTGTGCTTTCGCAAAATCGAATTTATTGTTTTAATGCCATTTTCTGTCTCTGTCGCTGTTGTTGTTGTTGCTGCTGCTCCTGCCTGTCGAGCGCAAAAATTGGCAATTTGTTTAGAAATTAGCGCACTCGCTGACACTCATCCAGTTCAGCCTCGCTCTCCTTCTCTCTCTCCAGTTGTGCCTCTTCCTCTGCCCCTCTCTCTTTGGATATTGTTCCGTTTCAAGAGCGGCTCTCTTCGCTTTGTTGCAGTTGGAACTGAGTATTGGGCTGCGTCGGATCGCTGAAAAATCCACCGTAAACTCCGTCAAAGATTATCCAATAGCTTCGGCACCCGAAGCTTCACTTCCTTCCTGTTTCTGTTACAATGTAAAATGAAAATAAATTTCCTCTTCATTTTCCCCTATCTAATACTGTTTATTGTCGTTTCAGCCACACCGCCATGAGCTCCACTGAGGGGGGAAAAGGAGTAGGAACAGCAGCGGGCGGTGCTACGGGTGGGGGCCACATCTTTCGCTCGCTGTCGTCGGAGAGCCAAAAACGGGAATGGTCCAAGCGACTATCACTCAGGGGAATGCGTCATGGAGCGGGAGGAGCAGCAGCTGGACCAGCGACAGGCCTGTCCACAGGAAAGGAGGTAAGCTAATTGTCCGACCAACAACCTGCCTCACTTGCAGCAAGTTATATTTAATGCAAACTAAAGAGCAGACAATCAAAGGAAGGCACTGCCTTGCCTTCTCTTTAATATAACTTGATTAACCCACACTCCTTCCCTCTCACACGACACGCACAATAATTACTTTAAGTACTCAATCCTCTGCTTCGATTCTCCCTCTCTCTCTCTCTCTCTCTCTTTGTGTCTCTTTGTGCAGGAAAGCAAACACAGAAAATTCTTTAGCCGCTCGGCCTCGCTGAAGCAGTCGGGCAGCGGCATCAGCCAGCAGACCTCCATGGAGCTGCATGTGCCCGGGCAGGGTGGGGCGTCGTCTCCGCAGACCCAGAGCCAGACCCAGACCCAGACCCAGCCCTCGACGCCCAAGAAGTCCAATTGGGAGGTGATCGAACATTTCAATACGAGTGCCAAGGGAGGCAAGGCCATGGTTAGCAGCAGTTTGATTGCGGTAAGTCTGTAGGGTGGAACATGCCCCAAGTCCCAAGCCCCTGCTGTGGGGCATCAATTAATTTGCCATCCTAATGGACAGGCCGTCGATTGCAGGCCAATCCTTGCCTGCTGCTGTGCTTGTCCCTCAGCTCCCTCCTCCTCCTCCTCCTTCTCCCCTTGTGGCGGCTGCTGTTGCTGTCCCCTCGTGGGATTTAAATATTTAATTCGATTTGGAACTGAATTTAAATACACTTTTATTGATGAGGCAAGCTGCCAGCGCGAGAGGAGCAGGAGACAAATGTATATTTAGAGGGCACCTTTTTTTTACTTAATTAAGTTTATTATTTAAGCCGAAATCGATTCCCCCTAACTGTGCTCCAGGGAGTGCTTAGGGTCTTGGACCAAGAACTGGTTGAACGCCGCTCCGTTGTGCGGTTTCTTGAGTGCAAGGCCAATATTTTAAAGTGAAACTTGAGGGAATTCCCCAACGGATTCCTGGATAGTTGGTACATGTTTGAAAGCCCATTTGGGGCCGTTAAAGCACTCTGCACTCTTCTGTCTGTCTGTCTGATTTAGTGCCTGCTGAGATGGGAGCTGCGAACGCTCTTCACAGATTCAAGATTCAAGATTCAAGAGAATTTTGCCCAGCCTCGTCTCCTCGTCTGCTCGCTTTTATCCATTTCTTTTGCAGTTATTGTTCTGCATGGAAAATGTTACCTGTTTGTAATGCAAACTAACGAGCGATGTCCTGCAGAACATCCTGCTGCTGCTGAACGCACACAGCTGCTAAGCTGCTGACATGCACACAAGGGGCCACTTAGCAACTGCACACAGGAGTGTGTGTGTGTGTGTTGGCTCTATTTGCGCTCGTTGTCAAGAGTCAATTGACAAAGTTTAACAAATTGAAAAGGCAGCAGCAGCAGCAGGCAGGCAGGCAGGCAGGCAACAACTGCAAACGAGCGAAAGGAGAGCTGGGAAAAAAATCATTTCTGGCATTTAAATGGGCGGCAATTTGCTCCAAAACGCCGCGGGATACACATGTATCTAAGTGTGTGTGTGTGTGTGGGTGGCAAAACGTTTAGAGTCGATTGTTTGCCTGCGAACAAAAATCATAGCCTACTTATGCGGGCGGGCAGGCGAAAACATCAATTTGTAAACATTTTTATGAGCAATTGAAGTCAATTATGATGGCATAAATATACATGATAAATATCCAATTAATCTGTACACATTTCGGGCTCCGAATCGACTGGCTTAAATGTGAGAATTCGCTTTAAAAAGGCCAAACAATTGGCATTCGATTATTATATTTATTATTGTAAATGAATCTACATACATATGACTCAATGTTCATTATTCTTGCTACCCTCAGGCGGGCATTACGCGTTGCAACATTGACGAGTCCATTGACTCGACGAACTCGAGCTCCACCTGCCACAGTCCCATGATCTATCAACGTGACGAGACGCAGCTGCTGCAGCAAGGTAAGTTCCCTTTTGCCTAATAAGAAAACGTTTACCCTTCCCCCACACAAAGTGGGCTACTGAGGGTCAATCAAAATGCCAACATGCTCGCACATGGCTGCTCCTCTCCTTCTGCATCCTTCTCCCACATCGCTCAAACTGTCACAAGTTGATTGTCATTGTCATATTGAATTTGACGAGGCTACTTTGTGCCAGTCCCCGCATCCGCATCCGCATCCGCACCGCACAGCCTCACGTCTCACGTCTCACGTTGCTCTGCTGGCTTCTCGTTTCATTGGCATTTCACTCACATATCGCCGCCTCCTTGCTGGCTCCTTGCTGGCTGCCTCAACCTCTTTCCCATTTCCATTTCCAATCTGCTTCAGATTTATTTTAGTTGTGTTTTCTAGGAAGGAACTCTCTGCGTTCGCCTTCGCCTTCGTTTGGTTTCCCTTTTCGATAGATGTACTACGACGATGCGTAGATTTACATAATCACGTTTGGCATTTATTTATTGATGCATATAAAAACATATTCCCAGCATTGTGCTTCCTTGTGCTCCCCAGCCTCTCATCCCTTCTCTCTCTCTGCCTATGTGCTTGAGGTTTTTCCTCTCCTTTTCTGCTTGTTGTCCTTGTTGCTTTGTGGTCAGAACACGGGACAGTTGAATGATTTTAATATGACGATTTGGCCGACAGTCTCCATTTTACAATAGAATATTTTATGGCTTTGTGTGTGTGTGTGTGTGTTGCACTTGAAATCAAGGCTTCCCGTTTCTCGTTTTACTCGCACTCCACAGGGAGAACCAGAGAGAGTGGGAGAGAGAGAGAGAGAAGTGCCAGAAGCAGTCAATGGATGGGAAAATCGAAAATGTGTGTACAACACGTTAGGCGAACGAATTGTCCTCAATGTCACAATGGTGCCCAGGAGTTGTGGCACATCGAAGGAGCAAACAGAGAACGAAAGCTGCCAGCAATCGCAGTTTGCTTACCAACACTGGTCATCAATGTTGACGGATGGATTAACGGGCTGTGCCGATAAGTGTTTTGGGATGCTGTCATTTAGATTATCAAGAATACTTCTTAGCGTTTAACAACACTGTTTGCATCATCCACATAAATATTTGAGTTTTCTGAGTTTTCTTTCATTACAACTCTGTAGTTAGACTTTCCGCTCCAACGCTTCTCAACACTGACAACCACTGGACTTGTCTCTCTCTCTTTAAGCTGCAGTTGATTGTATTTCTCTCTGTTTTGCAATCGAATGGAGTCCTTTAGGACAACTGTCTCCAACCAATCTCCAAGCCAATCCACAATCAAATCTCTCTATGCAAAAACTCTCAAATTTCATGCTGATTCGGATTTGGATGCCTGCCATCGGCGCTGTAATCGATGTTGCCAGCAATTTGCATAATTTTAATCTGCTTGTGCAGTCGGCCGACTGTGAAGACCTGCAGACCGGATCCCCGTAATTATTTGCATTTTCGAGTGCCACAAATTCCAGTCTCTAATCATGTGCAGGGGCTAATTGCAGCTGCGATTGAATCAGATTCAAATCAAACTCTGGCTGCAGCTTGATGCACATTTATAATCGCTCTCTCGCTTCTGCTTTCAGGCGATGCCAACAATCTGGAGGCCAACAATCCCAGTCAGAGCGGTGCCGGCGCTGCTGGAGGAGGCACGGGTGGTGCTCTCAGTCCCAGCATTTCCTTCTGGTTCCGCCTGAATCGCATCATTCTGCGCCTCTGCTCGACGCATCAGTTCAAGAATCTTCAGGTAAGCAGGGAATCCTTTCTCTGACTTTTAACTTCCCAATGCTTGTCATCTGCTTAGGTGGAAATGCTGTATCAGCGTTACTTTTTGCGAATGAACCAAAGCAACACGACCCACGTGCTGGCCCTGCTGCTGGTCCTCATCCTGGCCCTGTCCGGCACTCACATCGTGTTCACCACACTGCAGCTGTGCCGCGGCGTCGGCGGCGGCGAGGGGAGTGCCCTCAAACTGGAAAGTCTCAGCCTGGACCCAACTGCCAATGGCAGTGGCAGTGCCACTGATGGAGGTGGCAACTTAACGACAACCACAATGGAGCCACCAGCATCGGCAGTCGGGCAACAAATTGCCAATGGCAGGCGCCTCCTTCCTGCGGCTCTCAATTTGAATTTGAATTTGAATCTGGTGACAGGTGTGACAGGAAGGCCAAGCCCCGATTCTGCTGACCGCGACCTTGATGATGATGATGATGAGGAGGAGGAGCGTAGGCAGCAGCGTAGGCAGAAGCGCAAACATCATCGACGCCTCCACAAGCATCGCTACAAGCAGAGGTAAGCGAAGGGACAGGGAAGACCCAGGTGATGGCAGGACTAAAGCGACTGAAAGGCGACTAACATTTGAGGTTTCTCCCCCAAAAATCCAATCAAACAACCTTTTCCCCACTCTTGGAGTATTGCCGTTCTGTGAGCTGATCCTGAGCCCATAAAAGTAGCCCAGAAGAAGGCTCAAATTGAATTTAAAGTCCAGGCCAAGCCTCCAATTGTTCGCTCAGAAAATGTTTCAATTACAAATCGAAAGCGAAACGCAAATTCAAATGAGGCTGCACCGGCATAAAGAAGGTCTGTCGGAGCTTCATTTTGGGGATGGCAATCCCTTTCAAGGCGGCCCCTCATCAATGTATTTTTAACTGGCCTAAATCGAAAATAATTCGAGACAGGAGCGGGCACAGGGGCAGCAAACAGTCGAATTTCGTTTACATTTTGATTTTCATGCCACAACACGATGAACATTCCAAAGTTTTGTCTCGACTCTGTTGCAGATTCAGAGTGCGAGGCAGAAGGAGCCTGCAGGAGCTGATTGTGGAGCCCGATCCAGGCTCGTCCGATGGCCCAACTGTTGCCCTGACTGAGGTTGATGAGGCAGATGATGTTGTGGCTGGCAGTAAGCGCATTACGTATACGCCGCGTGTGCGCGACAACAATGAAATTTGGCATGCGGAACGGGATGAAGGGTTGAACAGAACGTCAGTGGAAGTGCCAGCAGCAGCAGCAGCAGGACCTTCGCAGGATCATTTGGGGCACATACTCGGCGCACTTGTCATGCGGATTGACGAGTCCGTGCTGGTCTTCCTCATCGTAATGCTAATCTGTGGCATTGTCTACGGCTGTGAGTGCTTCAGCGTTAACTTAACCCTCGATTGAACCCCTTTGACGCTGGACGTGTCCTTTGTGCTTGCAGTTCTGCTGTGCATCCTGGCCAAGCCGGCCATGAACGAGATCTTTCTGGTGCTGGTTTCGTATGTGATATTGGGCACATTCCTGGCCATCGAGGTGGCCGTCAGCTACGCCATGCAGCCCAGGTTGGCCCCCAATTAATCATTCGCACATTCATTCATCATCCTCAATCAAGAATCATCCTGAGCCACATCTGGTGTCCTTTGTTCTAACCAAGAGCACACGCTGTGTGCCTTCTCTTTGTGCAGCAAGTCCTTCAATGGCAGCGCCTGCAGCATCGTCCTCATCTACATGACCTACACCATGCTGCCGCTCCGCCTGCGGGAGGCTCTGATCGGAGGAGTTCTGCTGAGTGTCGTCCATCTGTACACCTGCCTGAGGCTCACGACGCTCGCAGCAGAGTCTCGGCTGACTCCCCTCAAATGGGAGGAGGTGAGTCCACTCTCTCCTCTTGCCTTGTGCTGCTGCTGTGTGTCTGCTGCCCAATGGGGCATCCATCAACAGGCATTTCGGCAGTTGCCACAAACAATAAAAGTGAAACGTTAAAGAACACGCAGCAGAGAGTGGCACAGGGGGGGACAGCAGAGCTCTCCCAGCGGGTAGGCCATAAATGAAATCGAGAATGCTTCGACGCTGCTCCTGCTGCTCCTGCTGCTCCTGCTGCTGTCCTTAAAGACAATCCTCCACTGTTCAATCTGCAATCTCTTCCTGCAGCTTCTCTCCACGGTGGTGGCTCTGCTGCTGGCCAACCTCACCGGCGTCTACACCCACTGGCCGAAGGAGAAGGCACAGCGCAAGGCATTCATTGAGACGCGGCAGTGCATCGAGGCGAGGCTGCGGACACAGCGCGAGAATCAGCAGCAGGTGAGTGGCTAGGGCAGCACACAAATGAACACAACAGAGGACGTGTTTGCATCAAACGGAATCCTGAAAGAGCACAGTCGGGGACCACCAACTGCTTTGGTCCTTAAGCTGCTGTTTGGTTGGCCTTTTGATGGCTGAGAGCTTTCGGCATCACAGCCCACGCCCTATGATTTGGCATCACCTTTTGATGGTGATGCCTCCAGAGTTCTCTCAACTGTAGTTCTGCTGGAGCTGCAGGAGCTTGTCTGCCGACTAGCAGATATCCATTACAACTTTTGTCCTCTTTCCTCGTTTGTTGCAGGAACGCTTGCTGCTGTCGGTGCTGCCACGACATGTGGCCATGGAGATGAAGGACGATATTGCTGGCCAGCCACGTGACACACAGTTCCATAAGATATACATACAGCGACATGAGAATGTCAGGTAAGTGTCCCCCCCCCCCCCCCCCCCCCCCCACCATCTACATCAGTATTAGTGTGTGTGTGTGTGAATTTATTTGCATGCAAAGTCAATAAATTGATCGACTGAGAAGCGACTCTCTGAAGCGTCTGTTCGCCGTGTGTGTGTGTGTGTGTGTGCGGCGCAGGCAAATGAATTGATATGCAAAAAGCAAAAGAAAAAAGAAACACACACACACACACAGACAGTGGGAGCACTCAACGTGGCAGGCACCTGTTTGAGTCTGTCTTTCCTCTGGCAGGATGCTCTTTTTTGTGGCAGGATTGTGGCAGGAGAATTCTCGCAAAAGTTGCCAGTAAATTGGGGGAAATAGCTATGGAATATTCACTATTTAAACCTCCAAACCCAGGAGACTTCTCTGCCAGAAAATGCTTTTAATTTCACTCCATTCCTGCTGGAGCCATTTCCCTCTTTGCAGAGTATTCCAAATTCTTCATTCAGCTTTCATTTTGCTCTGTTTGCTTTTGCTCAAACATTTTGTATTCAATTACGCGCTGAGCCGCCTAAGCCTAAGCCTAAGCCTAAGCCCTTCTCCGTTACGAGTCGTAAAATCAGCGGAAAGTAGCAGCGAAAAACACGCAGGGGCACGGGCAGTCGGGAGTGGAGCTCCAACGGAGCTCTGTCAACACATGGACTGCTCCTGCGTGCAAGTAAAGGATTTGACAAAGAGGGAAAGGGGAGCTAATGTAGTGAGTAGCAACTGCAGAGGGGAAGGGAGTTGAATATATTAAAAAATTCCATTCAAGCAGCTCTTAAGATTACAGTGGAAGATGCCACAAATGGACGGGGAAGAAACAAGACAAAAGTTGCCTCAAAACAGATGAATTCTCAGGCAGTTGTTACTCCATTCCCAAAGAGTCCTTACTGCACACACGCAGCGTATCCTGCAACAGAAACTGAGCCCCCGAGACTTGTACCAACATCGAGTCGAGTCCGAGTCCGAGTCCGAGGGAACCGCAAGTTTTGTAGTATGCGAGTTGCGTTTTGCTTTTTCTTTTGTTGTTTGCCTCACTTTTACCCTCTCACTCTCTTGCAGCATTCTCTTTGCGGACATTTGCGGTTTCACCAGCCTCTCGGATCAGTGCACCGCAGAGGAACTGGTGCGTCTGCTGAACGAGCTCTTTGCCCGGTGAGTGCGTGCCCTCCATCCAGCCATCTGCCACGAGTAGCTTGGAGGCTGGAGGCTTGTGGCAATAATTAATGGCGGGAGGACTCCTGCCAGACAGAGCTTGCGGCTGTATTAATTGCTTCGAGCAGCCTCATCAAAGTGGACAAGTGGGCGCAGTGGCTGGATGGATTCCACTTGCTTAAACGCTGCCTTTAAAGGCGCAGCTTGAAGTACTTGCCTCCTCACTGGCTGTGCGGTTCGATTTCCCGTTTGACTTTCATTTTCATTTCCCGTCTCTGCTTTCCCTCTCTCTGTGTCCCGTGTGTCCCGTGTGTTGCAGCTTTGATCGATTGGCTGCGGAGCATCATTGTCTCCGCATTAAGCTGCTGGGCGATTGTTATTATTGTGTCTCCGGTCTGCCGGAGCCAAGGCCGGACCACGCCCATTGTGCTGTGGAAATGGGACTCGATATGATTGACGCCATTGCGTGAGTATCGCCCCATGCCAGGACACAACACAACACAAAGGGATCTATCTTTTGATGTACTGATGTATCTTGTATCTGTTTCTAGGCTCGTTCGCGAGGTGATGGCCGTCAATGTGAACATGCGAGTGGGCATCCACACGGGCCGCGTGCACTGCGGCGTCCTCGGCCTGGTCAAGTGGCAGTTCGATGTGTGGTCCAACGACGTGACCCTCGCCAATCACATGGAGAGCGGCGGCATTCCCGGGTAAGTCCTTCAATTAATTACGGCGGGGCGCCCATTGTCTTGGGACATCTTGGGCTAAATCCCATTCAATTTCATTTCATTTCATTTCATTTCGGAGCCGCCATTGCAAATCCCATTCAATCCATTGAAAATCCCCATTTTTGGTCAGTTTGTGTGCCACTTGTGGGTGACAGCTGTGAATAATGGCCATGAAAGGCAGTCCTCGGGCTCCCCTCCACTGACAAGTTTCTGGCACTTCCGTTTGTGTATTGAGCGCAATGTGGTTCGTGGTTTCTGGCACAAAACTTTCTCTTTCGAGCACCTTCCACCGATGGCACTTGAAAGTCCAAAAGTGTCGCGGCCACTCTTCCTTTCTTCCATCCTTCCGCTCAATGGGTGAATGGGTGAATGGGTGTGGCGGCCATTCGTTGTAATCGCTGTAATTGCCGCCGCCGCCTCAGCACACACACAAATTTAGCATGCGTCTTGCCGTGGCAGCCAGCGGGGCAGCCTGGAGCGGGTGTCAAGTTATTGGTAACTTACGAGTGGCTTTGGCAAACAGGCCCCCAAAGACCCCTTCAAGGATCGCCACCCAATCGATTATGGCCCACAAACACACACACAGAGAGCGAGAGAGAGAGAGGGAGGGGGCTCTTGTGTGGCATGTGGCACACCCCCGGAGCCAAACACCGAGACACCCACAAACGACCACTGATAAGTGCGCCCCGCAACAATATTTTGTTGCTGTTGATTCAGCTGCACTTGCACTGCGCTCACTTCAACACTTGAGCAATTTGTTTCTGTTCCTTGCATACCCTGGCGAGAGCAAGTGGAGCCAACAGAGGGAATGCTGGCATTGGGAAGAGCCAGAGAGAAAAAGAGAAAGAGACAAAGAGCGAGCATCGCTCGCTTGGAACGAGTGACAACTGAGACGTCTGTGTCCCACATTCACTGTTTCTGCCTGAGCGGATCTGCGGATCGAAGAGAGGAAGAGCACAAGCTTAAGGGGTATTCCAAGTACCAGCTGTCCCTTGGGTCCGCTCTTCCTTGTTTTCTCAGTTTCTGAATATTCACGCTGCGACTTTGGACTTTGGACTTTGGGTTGGAAGTTTAAGCAACTGTTGAGTTTATTTGGGTCACCCGGTTGATGGCGATGGCGATGGCGATGGCGATGGCGATGGGATGGCAGCTCGTTTGTTAGCCCCTGTCTGGGTCTGGGTCTGGGAGGGAGTGAAATTAAAAGCAAATAGCTGCAATAGTTGGGTGCACAGTGGTTGCCTGATAAGCTGCAATTTGGCCTGGAAGCCAGCCACTGAAGGAGCCACGAGCGAGAGCGGAGCGAGCGCATGGAAAAACTTCGTTAGCTGCAGGACAGAATGGAGGACAGTGGCAACGGCTGGGTGGCAGAGTACACTTGGTGGCAATCCATAACAAAGCGTCATGTAATTATCAATAGAATCAACAACATGAAGTTGCTTTACGTGCCACGTGCCACGTTCCGGGAGTGGAGAATGCCAGCCATTGTGGAGGAGCATTAAAAACTATTTATCCAAGGGTGCAGACAGACAGCGAGAGAGAGAGAGAGAGGGAGGACAAGCATGTAATGCGAGTTGCTGCTGCTGCTGCTGCTGCTGCTGCTGCGGTTAACTGCAGTTGTCATCTGTGTGTCCGTGTGGTTGTTGGTGTGAGTGCGGGAGAGGCAGAGGCAGAGGGAGAACTTAAGCAGCTTCGGATAATCATTAGGATGTTCTCCGTTACATCTCATCCTCTTTTGCCTTCTTCGCAGACGCGTTCACATCACCAAGGAGACGCTGAAATGCCTGGACGGCGACTACGAGGTGGAGGCCGGCAAGGGCGCCGAACGCAATTCCTATCTCAAGGATCATCAAATAGAAACTTACTTGATAGTGCCAGGAGATATCTACAGGCCAGTAAGTGCATCAGCTGAGAGCATACATTGGCAGCTGTATCTTCATTCCTCTTTCAGCACAAAAAGTCTCGGAATCGCTTGCAAGTGAATGGAAACATATCCAAGGAGCTGCGCATGATGGGCCACGGCACTGCCCAGAAGCATTCCTCCAAGTAAGACCAAACATTCCCTCTATTCCTTCTGCAACTTATATTACTCCCCTTGGCAGATTTGGGTTTGGCGACAGCTCGGAGAGCACCAAGGATCCCGAGGATGAGGTGAATGAGTATCTGATGCGTGCCATCGATGCCCGCAGCATCGATCACCTGAGGGCCGAGCACTGCCAGTCCCTGCTGCTGTGCTTCAAGAAGAGTGTGCTGGAGAGGAAGGTACGAGCTGCGATACACATCGATGCTGTTTGCCTTCCCCATGCTGAAGTTCCTTCTGGTTCTCCTTTCTGTTTGCAGTATGCCAGCGAGCCGGATCGCATGTTGTGTGTGTACTTCTACTGCAGTCTGCTGGTCCTTCTCGGCACCAGCTTAATGCGACTCGTGGTGTTCCAGAGGTGAGTGGAGGCCTCTCCTTTCTGTTCATATTTGCCGTCTGCATGAGAGACGGCGTCCACGCGTAGCGTTGCCCTTTGGGCTCTTTGACTCTTTTCCGTCTCTTCCGAATATGTTGCCAAAATGTTTTTCTATTTATATTGCCAACTATCCATGCCCTGCCCCCATCTCTTGCAGCTCCCTGCTGACTTTGGCCCTGTCCCTGGTGGCGCTGTTGCTGCTGATATTTCTGGTATTTCTGGTGGCATGTCACAAAATCAACTTTCAGGTAAGCACACACGGAGAGGGGGGAGTGAGTGGGGATTTTGCACTTTTCATTCAACGAATTGCGCAACTTTTTAGCTGCCATCGGACATCAAACGCTTCTCATTGCGCATTCACAGCAATCGCAGGATATCGCAGTTTTTCGCCTTTGCCAGCGTCGCCCTGATTGTCCTCACCACCCTCCTGGCCATGGTGAGTATTTACCACTAGTGTGGGGTAGTGTGGGGATTTTTAAACTCTCTATTAAATATTTCAAGCGCACAAACTGCAACAGGCCCAAAGAAAATGTATTTAAATTTTAACTCAATTCGCGAAATGTTTCAAAGGAAACTCAATGCAATTATAGAGATATTTGCGAGGTTTTTTGCTTAAAATTGTTTCAAGATAAACATGAAATATGGCTGCCATTCTATCATATTTAATTCTGTCTAAAGAGTCTGACAAAATGCCGACAAATTTGTCAACTAATATTTGCTCTTTTGTGACCCCGAAAGTTTTCTTTTATCCTCCCAAAAGTTATGTTTTCTGCATATGCGGGGAGGTTATTATTAGAACAGCTATGCTGAGGCTCAGGGAAACTCATAGATAATCTCCACAAGTTAAAGAAACCAAGGGACTGTCAACCTTTCCTTTCCTCTCCATTTGGCTGTGCATCTCTCTGTGGCAAAAGTTTCCCGGGCAGGGTATTCGGGCGACCCTCTTAGAAGCGAATAAAAATAAAATTTACGTTTTGTAGTCGAAATAAAATTGGGGGGCGGGCTTGTTGCGTTTGCTGCTGCTGCTGCTGCTGTTTGGGGGCGCGTCAAAACAAAAGTTTTTCCATTAAAGTTGGCCATTGGGAAAAACAAGCTCCGCAGCGCCCCGGGCTCCCGGCTTTGGCCTGATGAGGTGAGAGGTGGCTTTATGGGCAACTTGTTACCTGCCCCCTCCGGCCTTTTGTCTGTGCAAAGTCTCGGCCTGGGCCGAGTTCTTTGACATTTCGTTGTCACTTTGTGGGGTTTCGACATGGCCAAGGGGTCCTCGAACTGTGTGCATGCTTAACGACACTTTAAGAGAGGCATTCGCACTCGTATTCATTTGGGGAAGCACATTTAATGGGCAGCCACGCGCTTTCGGTCTCTAGTTGCAGGAGTCTGGGCGGCAGCTGGAGCTGCTCGAGAGCCACCGCTTCTGGATGGAGGTGAATGTCACCGAATACAATCTGGAGGAGATGCTGACCCAGGAGGAGCCACCCGACTGCGACTTCTATCTGGCATACAATGTGAGTGAGTGGCATAGCTGCTGGAGTTCTAATTTCCTGACTCAGAACAGACCTTCCTGCTGCTCACCCTGCTCTCGATGATGAGCTGTGCCACGTACCAAGTGCTGCGGATTCTGCTCAAGCTGATGCTCCTGCTCCTGGCCTCCGGCAGCTACATGGCCTGCTCCTCCTATTTATATGCGCGCAGCAAGGAAATCAGTCATGAATTGGCGTAAGTACATAGATCCATCTCCCGCGCATCTGAGCTCTGTCCTCGGGTTGCTCGCTGCTGGCTGCTGGCTGAGGGCTGCGAATGAAAACGAATTATGGCGTAATGCAATTTCAGTTGGGTCTCGAGTTCAGCTGGGTTTTCATTGGGCGGTGGTGGGGTGGTATGGAAATGCATTTACTGCAGCCGCAAACCGCATTAAAATTTTATTTAGCACTTGGCCCCCCACTCGAACTTGAGCATCCGCCACTGCCAGCAGCTGCTCCTCTTACTGCTGCAAGCACCATCCTGATTTTGGCTACTTTTCTCTCACTTTGTTGCCATCGCATTGCGCTTTAATGGACTGGAATAACTTTGTGATTATCGCCATTTTTGGGATCTTCGTTGCTGGCACTGGAACTGTGACTGCAACGACAACTGCCAATGGAATAGGAGTGAGGAGGCCCTGCTGCGCTACATAATTGATTCCATCTTCCTCTTTGCATTCATGCTGGCCCTCATCTTCCACAGCCACCAGACGGAGGCCACCTATCGCTTGGATTTCATTTGGAAGCTGCAGGCAACGGGTGAGTACCGATGAAACGGTAATTAAATGAGCCAGAGCAGTGCTGGAACAAGTGGAAACAAGAACAGTTCTTGAAATGTGATCAAAAATGCACCAACAGCCCCCTCGTACAGCCTCCTCTTCGGCAGTGGTGCATAAAAGTCCCTTCATTTGATGGCGTAAAACTTTCCCTCTCTAATGAAACGAAAGCCCTCAAATAATTTTCGTAGATTAAAATTTAACAACAAAAGCGGCGGCTCATAATTATGATGATGATGATGATGATGATGACGATGTTCTATTCTGTTCGCTATTCCGTTTGACACAGTGTCACTCACTTGCACTGATTCCCCCTTAGGCTGTGTGGTTGTAGAGCGAGGGAGGGGGGAAAAGTGAGAGAGAGAAAAAGTTTCAGTGCCGCCCGACATATGAGCCACTTCATTAGTATTAGTGCACAATTGCATACCTGCTCCCATTCCCATTCATTCCCTCTCTCCGATAAGCCCACATCTCTACGCTCTACGCTCTACGCTCTTTCTCTCTCCATCTGTTCCCCTCTCCCAATGTGATTTGGTGCTTTTGCTCTCAGTGTGAACAGTGCATCTCTCACGGGATGAAACGGTACGGTACGGTTAACAGATAAACTGATATTTCAATTTGTTATTCTGCTCTCCCACTCTTTTCTCTTTCGGCTTCTACTGCTGCGTCTGTTCTGATTCTGGTTTGGCAGAGGAAAAGGAGGATATGGAACATTTGCAGGCTTATAACCGTAAACTGCTTGAAAACATTCTGCCCGTTCACGTGGCCGAGCATTTCCTGAGCCGCGAAAAGCACCTCGATGTGAGTATACACGTATTACATTTATTCATATAATAATACATAGCCGTAAGCTATATATGTACCCAGTACATGTGTATATGTAGTTTTAGTATTCGTACATATATTCATGATGCATGCAGCAAACTGTTCAACATATTAAAATACTTTCTGGCTGTGTGAAATCTGCGCCAAAATGCACAAGCGACAGAAAGAGGGAGAGTAAGCGCGGGCAGGGCCGGAGGCACGGACACGGGCAACGGCAATACGAAGGATGGAGCATTGCGGGGTACACTACTTCGAACCAGTCAAGCAGTAAAGGTGGGGGCTGAAACGACCGCATGTGTGTGTGCGGGGCCGGAACATGATTCACGGCACCTGCCGTCGGGGCGCTGTTCCCGCATTAAATGCAAATCCAACAAGCTAAGCAGCGATATTTGATAGCTGAAATGGCAACAGAGTGCGACACGACACCCTGGCAACGAGCTGCCATTTAAGCTCCAGAAAGCAGTTACTCACTGAGCGAACCCAAAGCTCGCATGCGAGCTTCACAATTTGATATATTTATGCATGTAAAATGATGATCGCTGAAAGCTGACCAGCAGCAGAGAGAGCTTCGAGCAGAGCGGCGCATACCGAAAACACAGCAAAGAAAGAGAGGAATGGAGAAAGGAACGGTGTATAGAAACCAACAAAAAGTGTTTGCCAGCAGTGTGTGTGTGTTATTCCACATTTAAGTGCCAACCAAAATGCTTTATCCCAGTGTTCCACTTCAGTGCACAAAAACAGTTGCAGAAAAGAGCTTTGCCAGCAGATGAATATATAATTTAATTTTGTGCCGACTTTTGCAGGATTTGTATCACGAGCAATGCGATTCTGTGTGCATCCTGTTTGCCAGCATTCCGAATTTCTCCGAATTCTATGTGGAGCTGGAGGGCAATAACGAGGGCGTCGAGTGCTTGCGTCTGCTCAACGAGATTATAGCAGATTTCGATGAGCTGCTGAGCGAAGAGCGTTTCCGGTGAGTCCTCCTGCCCGTTCCCAATTCCCAACACTTGCCTGCCATCCGGTTGCCCGTGCCCTAACCTCCTGCTTGCCCCATTTGCTCCGCAGCTGCATTGAGAAAATCAAGAGCACGGGCGCCACCTACATGGCTGCATCCGGACTAACGGTGAACACCTGCGACCAGGTGAACTTCAACCACGTCACTGCCATGGCCGACTATGCCCTGCAGCTGTTCGACAAAATCGAGGAGGTCAACATGCACTCCTTCAACAACTTTCGGATGCGCATAGGTGAGGCTGCCCCCAAACGGCAGGTTCGACTCTCTTCACTCATTTGGATTTGCCCTCCTTTGCAGGCATCAACATTGGTCCTGTCGTGGCGGGCGTCATCGGAGCCTGCAAGCCGCAGTACGACATCTGGGGGAATGCCGTCAATGTTGCCTCTCGCATGGACTCCACCGGCCTCGTGGATCACATCCAGGTGAGTCCTCCAACTGAAGACCCACCCGATCCTGATTTAATATCCAGCTAATCGCGGGCACTCAAGCAGCCATTTCGCAGCCGCAATTTTATTATCAAAAGTTTTCGTGATGCTTCTGTGGCCCTGAAAACTGTGCAAAATCTCTTGCCCAAAGTTTCACCTGAAACTTTTTTGGGGCACGGCAGGGAGGGTGGCTGACCACACCCGTCTAATCAATGGCAGCCAATGGAAATGGTTGTCCATTTTCAGCGGAAAACTTGTTTAGTGTCATCGAAAAGTTTTCCCCCAAAAGAGACAGCGCGGACTCAACAGGCAAAACGCACAGATACACACAGAGGTACACAGATATGCACATATGTTTGTGTGGGTGCAGACACACAGATACAAACACAGACACAGATGCAGATACAGATACAGATACAAATGCGAATTTGATTTTATTTGCTTGGCGTCAATAAAAACGGCGCAAAAGGCAACAGAAAAGAATTCGCAAACGAAATAAATTATTAAGCGTGCGACAAGTTGTTGCCCCTTCCCCAGGGGAAGGGGTAGTGTTGTCATGACATATGGAGCCACATCCCCCAACCCGCATACGAATAAGCAAAGTCCTGCCAGCAGCCATTGAACTTGTCAAATGGAATTTATGTTATTGCTTGTCTTTTCTTGCCTTTCTCTCTCGCTGTCTCTCAGGTAACTCAGGAGACGCAGCAGATCCTGGAGGGACGCGGCTTTGAGCTCACGTGCCGCGGCAGCGTCAATGTCAAGGGCAAGGGCTCGATGATCACCTACTTCCTGAAGGGCAAGAAGCCCGTCGAAATTCCCGCTGCCATCAAGGAGGAGGCGCCCACCAAGGCGGAGATAGAGCCACCCAAAACACTCGAGCTGACACTCGTGAAGGAGGGAGAAGCAGGAGCAGGCAGCAGCCCGACGAAGGCTGAGCTGCAGGAGGAACAGGAGCAGCTGGATGAGGATGAGGATGAGGATGAGGACGATCTGCTGCCGTCGCCAGACATCGATCTCAACTCGAACATGCAGAGCCTGACGGCGCAGCGGAGGAAGTCCCTCTGCCGGCAGCACAACATCTCGTCCTCGTTCGGCACGACGGTGAGCAGCTCCACGGGCATCACGCCCAGCATCTCGAACAGCTCCAGTGTGACGACCATCGGCGCCCTGCCCACCCTCCTGCGCAGCGCCAATCCAACTCTCGCGGACAACTGCTCCGAGTGCGGGGCCACCAGCAAGTCGGCGGCCACGCCCACAGCGACACCTCGGACCCTGGTGGCGGAGCTGAGGGATGAGATAGCGCGGGACGAGAAGAGCGGCCTGAAGGACTCCATTGAGAACCTGGAGATCCTGCTGAAGAACAACATCAGTCTGTCGGACCTGAGCAACAAGCAGCAGCAGAATCTCAGGGGAGAGATTCCCCCACTGGCGTCAGGCGGCACTGCCTCGGCCACCACCACGCTGCGGAAGAGGGACACCATCGTGTGCTTCAATGTGACGGAGACGCTGACCACAACGGCCACCTCCTCGCAGTCCCAGTCCCAATCCCAATCCCAGTCGCTGTCGCAGCAGAGGAAACGCAGATCGGTGACCACAATTTCGGCGACTTGCAGCAGCAGCAGCACCACCACCACCACGCGGCTGCTCTCCAACGAGAGCCAGAGCTCCACGCAGACAGCGCCGGGAACCCTGGAGAGCAGCGCGGCAACCCAATCCTCGAGCGAGGCCTCGCAGGACTGGCAGCCCAAGACGGCGACGCTCGAACCGAATCGGAGTCCCATCAAGACCTCCCAGTCGATGAGTCCGATTGGGCAGCTCACGACGGAGGTGTTTGTGCTGCCCAACAGCCGGAGCATGATACTCATCAGCAGCACGGGAGCGGGCGGAGCAGGCGGAGCGGCCACCAGCAGCCCTCGTGCCGGGTTCCTGCAGGATGTCAGCACGTAGGGCATGCCCGTGGCTGCTAGAACCATGTAAATATGTACAAAGGAGCAGGCCCTAAGCTGGCAGCTAGACAGCTACAGCTAAAGATACTCGTAGCAATAGGCTGAGTTTGGGTTTCGTGTGCCACTCGCCACACACCCTTAAGCCCCGTCTATACGTATGATCTCGCATTTAATGTAGCTTTACGTGTTGTTCCTCAGTTGGCGTTTCATTCAGGCTTGCCAGTGGCAGAGTTTCAAGAGTTTTAGAGTACGTACAACCCGCCACGTTTCCATATCAAAAGCACGCAAGCAAAGGGGCACCAGGAGAGGATCGTTAGTTACCTTCGGCTCTAAGGGATAGGTTGTAAGCGGAGAGTAGTGGAATCGAGTGGCGGGTAAGTGGGCAAAACAAATCGAATTTAATGTTTAGTATAACGAGTAAGAGATGAAAGGAGATGGCATTGCAGCTCCAAATATATCCAATAACCAGTTAGAACCCTCAAGTTCGTAGTGGAACTCTTTTGCAGCCATAAACATATCGAAATATAATTAACTGTAGGAACTGTCCCTTAACTGAACTCTCTCTCTCTCTCTCTGTCTGACATCTGACCATTTCAAATTATTATGCAAAAATCTACAAGATCCGATAAATGTAAATCCAAAGAGTATCAAATACGAATAATCAGTAACTAGAGCAGAGTTTTTTGTGTGCGTTGAATGTGTTTCAATGTCTCTGCTCTCTCTCTGTACTATTTTATGTCTCAATTACGAGTAAATTGTTGCTGAAAGCATCCACCCACACCCACACACACACACACTTTAAAGTTTACGAGTAAAGTAACCCAACAACAACAACAAATTCTCGCTGTGATTTCTATGACAAAAAATGAACGTAAGGATGCATAAAATAATTTGATAAACATAAAACATTTTCTGTTACTTAGTTTTAACGCGAAACGAACGCAACTTCTGACTCTACGAACTACAAAGATACATCATCTAACTATCTACTACACATATAGATACAGATACAGATACAGATACAGATACTTAATGCGAGTGCTTCGATGTTCAGTTTAATGTTGATTAAATGTATTTAACACACAGGGTCTAAGTCGGTGTCAATGTAAACGTGTTAATAAAATGTGCGTTTGGAACAACTAAACGGGATGGAGACTATTTATTGGATCATTTACTCTATTTACAGCAAAGGATTCAACGAGCTTCACAACTTCCTTGCGCGGCGCCACAGACAGTAGTAGCCGAGGAGGTGGAAGCCAAAGAAGAGTCCCACCAGAGCCAGCAGATTGCGAGCGACATTCGCCTCGTTGAAGCTGTACTTGTCGAGCACATCCTGGCCGGTGTGGAAGCAGGGCAGATCAGCGCTCTCCTCGAAGCAGGCTGTGGCAGGACAGAAAGAAGAATGGAATGGATCACTGACTCCAAGAACATCGAACTGCTTACTGATATTGTCCACTCCCGACCACTGGGCAATTGTCATGGTCTCGTTGGCGTACAGCATCCAGGAGAGGAACTGCGTCCACCAAAAGGCCACAGGAAGCGAGCTGCAAGGAGCAAGGATTCCCATCAGCGGGAGCCACACACCCAAGAAGAGCGCAACTACTTGCCTTATTTGTATAAAAATGCCAGAGGTAATCATGAATATGTAGTCGAGTGGCACCAGGTAGGCCATGGCCAGCGGCACCGAGTTGAAGGCAGTGGAGAAGAAGCAGCCGCAGGCGGTGGCCACATTCATCACGAGCACCACACAAATGGCAGTGATCCCGAAGGCGTAGAAGGTGGACCGCAGCCCCGTCAGCCAGTAGCAGATGGTGACAAAGAGCAGCGGCTCGATGATCATGCCAGGCAGCTGTGAGGCCAGACAAAGGAGTTAAACAAGTCGAGGAAGTCGAGGGAAACAGACTCACCAATGCCAGAATATTTGCCACATAATATTGGGCCGTGGAGTACAGGCCCGAGCGGGTTTCCCGCATGAACAGCGGAAAGCCCTGCGGGAAGAGATTCAGCACAGAGTACATGGGATGGTAGGTGTTCTCGGATATCATGATGAAGACAGCTCCCTGGACAGCCTGCACGCCCAGCTGGTTGGGCACCGTGGTGCCGGCGAAGCACGCGCCAATGATGAAGGCCATGGCGATCTTCTGGATGAAACGCATCCACTGGATGGTGGGATCGCGGAAGAGCGTCAGCGTGGCCCGCAGCCAGACCACGTGGAAGCGCTGGTACCAGGGCACGCCGCGGAAGGACTCCACCTCCGTGTCGTACGGAAAGTTGCCCGACTGCGCCATGTGGATCTCCAGATTGACCAGCATGTCGCGCTGCTTGGCAGCCGAGCTGACGGCAAACTGATCGCACAGATGCTGCGCCGACCGCTGGGAGGCCTGCTCGCAGCCGGGATCCGTGGCCAGCACCCCGATGAGGAAGTCGGCGGGGTTGTAGGCCTCCGGGCAGTAGTAGCCGTGATTGGCGAAGAAGCTGAGCGCATGCTGGGGCGAGCCCGTGAAGGCCACGCGGCCATCGGCCAGGAGCATCACGTTGTTGAAGTTGTCGAAGAGCTGGGAGCTCGGCTGGTGGATGGTGCACAGGATGGTGGTGCCCTTCTGGGCCAGCTCGTACAGCGTCGCCACCAGCTGCTGGGCACTGTACGAGTCCAGGCCCGTGGTGGGCTCATCGCAGAACAGGATCACGGGATTGTTGAGCAGCTCCACGGCAAACGCCAGGCGCTTGCGCTCCCCTCCGGACAGCACCTTCTTGTCATCGCCGCTGCCAATGCGCGTGTGTGCAGCCGACAGGAGTCCCGTGCGTTCCAGCAGCTCATTGATGATAACGCAGCGCTCCTCCCGGGACACGCGACGATCCAGCCGCAGGTGGGCCTTTTGCGAGTGGCAGAAGGTGAGATCTAGCTTAAATAGTTGCACGTAGAATGGGGGGGGGGCTCACCATAAAGTTGAGATGCTCGAGGACTGTGAGCGACCCGATGAAGAGATCATCCTGGTAGACGTAGCCACTGATGCGGTGCATGAATGGCCCGATGCGTCGTCCGTTTATCAGAATGTCGCCTTGAACCACAGTACCGGCTGCAGGGCAGATGCCAGATTCCAACCAGATTCCAACCAGATTCCAGAACAGATCCAAAGCAAAGCTCATCAGTTCGTATCTTATCTTATCGAAACTACTTGGTAGAAGAAACTTACCGGGCTGTCGAAAGGCAAGTGTTGACATGAGAGTTGTCTTCCCCGAGCCACTGGGGAATGGGAATGGGAAAGTAGTTGAAATTACGATAACACGATAGTGAGATCCAGCAGAGATTCTGTGGCTTATCAGCAGAGCCTCATCTTGACACACTTGAGACACATTTTGGGCGCTTCAGTTTCCGCTCGAGTGCATTGGCACTGGACTGCCACTATCGATTTCTACTGCCACAACAATCTAAACTCACCTTGAGCCCATGAGGGCCATGAGGGTGCCCGGTTGAATGGCCCCCGTGGAGTTGTTGATGATCCGCTTCATGCCGCGCCCGGAGCCGCCCACATTGGTGTAGACACACAGATCCCGCCACACCAGCGTGGCACCCTGCTCGGTGGGCGACCACTTGCTGTAGCTCCTGAGGGGCAGACTGCGCTCTGAGCTGTTGCGCTTCGAGAGCTTCGGGGTGCTGTCCAGGCTGGGGATCTCGCTGGTGCTGGTGGCCACTGGCACCACAAGCTGCAGCTCGTGCTGCTCCGGCGGCAGCTGTCCGCTCTCCACGTCGATGAGCTGCTTGCTATCTGCGTCGGACATAATCTCTTTGGCGCTAGATAAACCTTAATCCTGAGCGGGAGTGTGTGCGTTTCGAACCGTTTCGAACCGAAGCGTGCCACAGCTGGGCATCAACTAAAGTACAAGCACAGTCAGCCGAGAAGTCCCAGCCAGCAGCAAATGCAAATAGAGCTCCACAATCTTTAGGGTGGCCCTGACAGCAGTCAGCATTTGATCGTCTTGCCGGCTACCGCCCACTGTCGAAGTAACAGACTTAGGCAGCGTCTCCGATTACCATTGCCAGCAGCAGCAGCAGCAGCAGCAGCAGCAGCAGCCAGTCCCGGCCACGTCAAGCCACTGGGAAGCCCCGCAAGCCAGAGACCAGCAAGCAGGGCAGCCAAGCAGCAATCGGGAAACCGCGGGAGGAATGCCACGACGCCACAGCGGTGGGGAGTGGATTCTTGCCTTCTCGTCTCTGTTGTGCTCGCCACTTTCGCACCCATCTGCCATCTGCCAAAAGGGAGCTGACAAATTGATTGCAAAGCTCCCCAGCAACACCTTTACATGTACAGACAGACGTGTGGCAACAACACCTCGTCGGATGCAGTCGCTACACAAAATTGGCTCCACGGCTAGTTTTCTGAACAGAGAGGAAGTTTTATTTGTATTTATCTTTAAGGTATTTGTGTATTGTAATTGTAGAGATGTAGATCGGAAAAAGAGATACCTAATTTGTCACAAAAAAATACTAATAAAAATGATACTAAACAAATGTAAAATTGTGCGGCATACTTTTGGGGCTGGGCTGTGATTGCCCAAAGTATAGCATACTTTCAGGTGGGTGCATGCGTCTCTACAAAAAAGCGCTAAAAGGGCATGTCCTTGCAGCTGTTGAGGTCCTTCATGGACTCAAAGGATGCAGGACCTTCTGCCGATCCCAAGGAGTCATGCCATGTCCTGGTCCGACAGGCCGCAACCGAGTTGTGCCGTTGTAGGGATTATATTACAAAACAATGCATAAATGCCATTATCCTTAATGTCCTTGCCTTCAAAGTGACTGCAAAGGATCTGGAGCATCGTCCCGACTACAAGCATGTATGGCATGTCCTGATCCGACAGGATACAGCCGAGATATATCGTTGTGGCATCACATCTAAAAACAACGCTTAAATGGCGTTATCCTTAATGTCCCTACATCCTTAATGGTTGCAAAGGATCCGGGACACTGTCCCGATCACAAGGATATGCGGCACATCCTGATCGGTCCACAAATAACGGAGAAAACAACAAAACAGTTCTGGCCTGTTGTTGTTGTCAATTTATTTTGTTGTACAACAAACAATAATAACAAAAACAACTTTTGTTGTACAACAATAACAAAAACAACTTTTGTTGTACAACAAAATAAGTGGACAACAACAACAGGCCAGAACTGTTTTGTTGTTTTCTCCTCTTCCTGTGGAGCGATCAGGATGTGCCGTACCTTTTCGTAATCAGGACAACTTCCCCCATCCTTTTCAATCCTTTTCGCTGCCAGGACATCAAGGATTCAGGATATAATTTCTGTAATATCGCCATTGCTGAACCGACCCAGACGTGATACGTATCCTCGTGAGCGGAAGGATCTCGCGAATCATTTGAGTTCATCAAGGACCTTAAGGACCTTAAGGATGGCAGGATATGACTGTTTTACGCTATTTTGTAAGGGAAAGTCATTAACCTGCCAGCCTGAAAGTATGCCACACATTTAAAGTGACCCAAACCCCAAAAGTATGCCATATATTTTTTAATACGTGCCCGCTTTTATTTCTTTGACTATTTGCTAATCCTAGAACCACAAACTAATTGTATCAGTATATACAAAACGAATACAAATAAATCAATTTATTTTGAACATGCCGAGTTGTGTTTACAATCTAGTTTTGCCTAAATGCAAGAATGCCTAAAGTCCGCCCGTCCATGGCCGTCCCAAGCCGCTGTCTGGAAACCTAGAATGAAACAAGAGCACAAAATATCAGATTAGCCGTGATCTTAGAACGAAATAAGCAACTAACAATGGGAATGCTTAATTTAGAATAAACAAAACTTCGAATGCCCCATCCGCGACGGCGGTACTCGACACTCTGGCGACGAGTCCAGTATCAGTGGTTCTCTGATAAGCGGGGCGGCCGAGAAGTATTAAATGAACGGAGCTGCACTTGCCACCTGAGTTGACGGCTGGCGATTGTGCGGATAAGTTGGAATACTTGTGTGGGGCATATATTTTGTTTCGGTGCAACACAAAATATCACGTGTATAAAACAGACTGGAATATGACACAGAACACGGAATCAACCAGTACCAGTGGTGCGCCAGTGCAGGCAGTAAATCAGTTCAGTTCATTCGAGATATAGGCGGCCCTAACGTGTGCCCGTGTTCGCTCGCAAAGAACGGCAATTGTGAAAAATCTTAAATCAATTAGACTATAATTGAATTATATAGCCGCCGTTATCGTGGGCACTGGCTTTGGCTATCTCCGCCTGGCCAAATATTGATCTTCAACGGATAGTGAACGTAATATACGCGCGGCCTTTCGACAGATAAGTCTCTGGAAAGCCCAAACAATAAAGTGGGTGAGACGCTAATTATAATGAGCAAACAGCTGCGAGACAGTGATAAAGTGCAGAGAAGCAACACTTAGACTTTTTTATTTCGGCTCTTGCAAATCGAGCGGCTAATGCAAATTCACAAAAACATTTCAGCGGTTACTTTTCAAAATTCAAATCGAAAGCTGTTGCAAAGACAGGCGAGAGAGGGAGAGAGCGGGAGCGCAAAAGCTTCCGTTAGACGAAATCAACCACCTAAACAAGGGCTCGCTGGGAGCGCTCTTCCACAGGCAGCGGAGAGCGAGAGCGCGGCGGCGTGTGCGCAGAGTCGAAATGAGCGCGACAGAGGTGAGTGAGTGTCAAATGTGATTCCAACTGCTAAACAGTTTGTTGTTGGTGCCGGCTAAATTTAACAAACACGAGAAGCAAGCAGTGCCCTGCCTGCCTGCTAACTAACGGTGACAAACAAATGCTTAATGCAATTAATTAAAGTGTTTCGCGGTAAAGAACAGGCGCAGATTGTACGTCGATTACGTGTGTGCGATGCTCTGCCCGAAAACAGATCGAGTGTGGCTGTGCTGTGGCTGACCTTGAAAGCCACAGATTGCCAAGACCAAATATTTCGGATCCAAATTTGCCAAATTTGTGATGCGACACTTCCACTGTTGATTTAAAGTTCTCCGCGACGGCATTCTTGTGGTTATATTCCTATGCAAACAATAAGTTTACTCTGAAAACTGTAATTCAATAATCTCAAACTCGATCTTCACGTTGTTTACCACGCAATTCGAGAATCAATCAGCCGAGATGGCAACTTGTGAATACTCTTTCCCTTAAGCAAACGCTTCAAATGAGCGAAAGCGACGCGAAGAGCTTGCAACTCGGCTTGCTGGAGTGTGTCCCGGTCTCAAGCGCTCCGCTCTGACGGGCATTGCCAGCAGAGAGGAATTTCGTTAGGTTAGCGCTCGCTGGAAGCTTTTTCAAACAAAAAGCTTCGCATCTGCATACTTTCAGGCATCCGCACGAAATGAAGTCCAACGACGTCGCAGCGTGGGCAGCGACAGCAGCAGCGTGGGCGGGGAGGTGGCGGTGGTGGAGCAGCCGGATGGGGGCCCCCGTCGCACTGCCTGCCAGTGGGTGGGGAACGTCATCAGCTCTACGTCCGTGGAGCCGACCATGTTCCTCTACATGTTCGCCTTCATGATCACCTCCGTGGTGGAGCAGAGCTTCTTCCTGTACAAGGCCTGCCGCGTCAACAACAACTTCAGCGAGGCGATCTGCACCAACATCAACAAGCCCGAGAACGAGGCGTACAAGAAGAAGTCCCTGGACACCACCGCCTGGTTCCTGCAGTGGGAGAACATCTCCGCGCACATCTTCCCCATCATCCTGGCCCTGTTCCTGGGCTCCTTCTCGGACCGTCGCGGCCGCAAGCTGCCGCTGCTGATGGGCCTGGTGGGTAAGTTCATCTACTCCACGATGGTTGTGGTCAACGCCAAGATGCCCCACTGGCCGGTGCAGAACATCATCTACACGGCCACCCTGCCCTCGGCTCTGACGGGTGCCGATGTCGCCATTTTCGCCTCCTGCTTCGCCTACGTTTCGGACATATCGACGGTGGAGCAGCGCACCATCCGCGTGACCATTTTGGACGTGGTGTATCTGAGTGCCATGCCCACCGGCGTGGCCCTGGGCTCGTACCTCTTCTACAACACCTTCCACCAGTCCTACGCAGACATGTTTGCTGTCAACGCCTCCCTGCTGGCGCTGGCCATCCTCTACACGCTGTTCGCCCTGAAGGTGAGTGCGGGCTGAGATCCCATCCAGAACTGTCTGCTTATCCGCACCCTTCCTAGTGGCAAACCACGCCCCGACAACGCTCGCTGAGGGAGTTGGGCTGGTGCGGCTTTTGGGGCGACTTCTTTGACAGGCAGCACGTGAAGGACTCGTTCAGCGTTCTGCTGAAGCCCCGCCGCGGTCATCGACGCAGCTTCCTCGTCATCCTGCTCCTCAGCATGTTGCTGTACACATTCCAGCGGGACGAGGGCAGCTACCTGTACCTGTACACGCTGGACAAGTTCAAGTGGGACGTGAGCTCCTTCAGCAGCTTCAAGACCTTCAAGTCGTCGGCCTACGTGATTGCCATGCTCCTCGCTGTGCCGCTGATGAACAAGGCTCTGGGCTGGCGTGACACGGTAAGCCGCACTGCAACACATAATCCGAAATCTAAGCCAAGTCTATTCCCATGACGCACTCGATGCCACAGACCATCATCTTCATTGGCGCCTGGGCGCACTCGATAGCCCGCCTGTTCTACTACTTTGCCACCACTCCGCAGCTGCTCTATGTCGGCGCCGTGGTCTGCAGTCTCGGTCCGATTGTGGGTCCCATGATTCGGGCCATGACCTCCAAGATAGTGCCCACCTCGGAGCGTGGCAAGGTCTTTGCCCTGCTCTCTGTGTGCGACAACGCGGTGCCGTTCATCAGTGGGGTCTGCTACTCGCAGATCTACCGCGCCAGCCTCGACGCCAACCACGGAGGAAGTGTCTTCATCCTAACCATTGCCACCCAGCTCACGGTCTTTGTTTTGATACTGTAAGTGATCCCAGTGGCAATTTCCTTTGGCCTTTGGGTATGAATCCCACTCTATTGCAGATGCATTCACATCGTGCTGGGAAAGAATTCACTGGCCGTCCCCGAAGTCCCGGAAAAGGAGAGCGGGCTGATCGGCACCAACAATGGAACGACGGTCATGGCAACGCCCCAAGAAGAGGAGAGATAGCCCCAGCCTCTGCCATTTACACATAAATACAGACATAAATAATTCTTACCTTGAATCACTTGTTCTTGGAGAGGGTGCGCTGCTTCTCGGCATGCTCCACCACCTGCTCGTCGACGAAGAGGCCCTTGCGACGCCGCACACTGTCCATGTAGACCTTGGCCCGGTTGGCGGAGTCGGCCTTCTCGCCGAAGTGCATCAGTTCCTCCTCGGTTGTGGGCAGCCAGAAGGGATCGATATCAATCACCTGTAAGCAGCAGACAGACGGCCAAAACGGTGTGAATAAAGTTCCAGGAAATCATTTACGCACTTGAGACGGAACAAAAGGCGTCGCTCGGTCTATGCGCCTGCGCCTGCGCCTGCGCCTCAGCCTGAGCTGGGCCTGAGCTAGGACCAAGGTGCGTGATTGGATTTGGGTTGGGTTCAACGTTTACGCGTACGTGAGGCATCACTGCCTGGCGTTTGTCTCATCAGGGAAAGCGTGCATTTTCACATCCTCATTGTCAGGCTCGAGAGGGTGCCACAAAGGACACAAAGGACGGAGACATTCAAATGCTCTGGGTCTGGGTCTGGGTCTGGCTCTGGGTCTGGGGCCGGTGAAGGTTTAATGACTTTCAAAGGACTCGCCATTGCGTGATAAGGCACGCCAGGATACGCAGAAATATTTTGCTGAATGGCGTGAAGAAGTTTCCTCGTCCCTTGATTGATGATTGCCTCCTTCTGCGAGCACTTGAGACCAGAGACAGTCCTCTCTGTGTAATGTTTTTTGTATTCTGCGTTTGGGTTCTGTTTTGTTTGGCTCACGGGCCAGCACACACTTGAGTTGACACAGCGGGCGGGTGTCGGGCGTGCTGTTCATTGGAAAACCTCTTCATTCGCTCTCTCTCTCTCTCTCTCTCTCTCTCTCTCTCTCTCCCACAATACCATTCCAGTTCATTCCATGCCATCAGCCTCATCAATGGCAAAGCAAAGGCAAAGGCAAAGCCCAGCTTACCCACACACTGATTGAGACGCGCTGGCATTGGGTTGGGTTGTGTTGTGTTGGGTTGGGATGGAATGGCCTTTTCCCTCGTTCAGGATCTGCCAAGAGTGTTCTTCTTCTACTTTCGGGCCATCTGTTCGCACTACGCTAAACTGCGGGCCCTCGACATGGCCTCCTCCGATCCGATCCCATCCCATTCCATTCCCCCATGTAGATCATTATCGGGCACAACGTTTCGCTTGTTTAACAACAACTAACAACGCTAACTGAGCGAGCAGAGAGAGAGAAGGAGGGAAGAGGGGGAGAGTGGGGAGCCATGCAGTAGTCCTCGACAAGGTAAGGCAATCCCCAATCTCAGTTTGAAACCCTGTCACAACACACAAACACACACAGAGAAGACATACAAAGTATAGACATCCTTCGGCAATGGCTGCGCATGCGCAGGAACTTCCCATCCTCAGCCATCTCTCTGGGCTGCCCTACGCACAACAAAACACAACACACAACACAACAGAACAGAATGGCTCGTCAAGAGCACACAATGAGCGGAGCAGCAGCAGCAGCAGCAGAAGGAGATGTACAAGGAGAAGACCCTGTGGCAGCTGAAGTGCTCCAGAAGTGCGCAGAGCTTGCGTCTGAGCCGGGCCAGACAAATGAGCAGCAGCCAGCGTGGATATCACTGGGAGAAAACTCTCGCATGGAAGTGCAAGAATAATAGAATAGGGGAGTGGAAAATAGCGTAGAGTAGAGAATATTTGTGGGCCAACTAAAGATCGGAGAACAAACAGCCGAAAAACTGTTGGATTGACTAGGTTGAAGATGGTTTCCTAGTACCCATAGACATCATGTTCTATGTGATGGCTGTAGTTATTCTAGAGCTTTCTGGCAGTGTCCTGGAAGCGTTCTCAAAGAGTTGGTTATCCGCACCGATGCAGCACCACGCTCCAAATTGCAGACAAGTCAGAGCCCCCAATCTCCTCTGCAGTTTCTTCCGCCATCCATTTACACCCCCCGCCCCTCTCAGAAAGTAAAACGAATATGAAGAAAAAATATTGAAGCAGCCGCGAAAACCAAAACAAAAATCCAAAAAGTAAACGACGTGATAAACACATACACACCGTTACATACAAATCTTCTCTTCTCTTTCTCTCTCCCTCCATCCAACCACCACTCATGTGTGTGTATGGCTCGGTATGTTTGTGTGTTTGTATGCAGGTAATTTACGCGGCAGCTACCGAAATACGCTGAGCCGAGCGTCTGTCTGTCTGTCTGTCTGTCTGTTTGTCCCCCCGTGTCCGCTGCTGCTGAGGCCGCGACCAAAACACCAACTTGAGATTATTATCGCGCGCCAGAAACAGAAACAGAGCCAGAACCAAAACCAAAACCAAAACCAAAAGCAGAGATGAAGACGGAGAGACAGACCGCGAATGGCCGTTCGTTTGGGCGTTGCGCATACCCAGAGAAAAGGCTCCACAGAGCTGCGAGCTGCGAGCTGCGAGGGGAGTTGTGCAAGGTATATTCAAGCGAAGGTAAGGCAGTGCAGAGAGAAACAAAGCAGTAGAGCCCCTGCCTCACCTTCTACCCATACTCTAACTTGGATTTTCAGCTGATTCAAGAGATACACGCGGCTGTAAAAGTCTGAATCTGTGTAGAGCCTCGGGGCCACGGACACGGACGAGCGTCATTTTGACAGCAAGCGAACGAACGATCGAGCGAGCGAGCGAACGGACAATGCAAACCACGTTCCACTTAAGAGCAACAACAATCCTTTGGGCCCACAGCCAGAGCCACTTGGATAAACACTTGCCGGCATGGATATGGCACACACACACACACACGTACACCCCGTGTACACCCGTATGTTGATTCGCACCAGGCAGACTTTAGGGCACTGTCTTTCCTCCTTCCCCCACTGCTCCAGCACTGCTCAAGAGTCCCTAGTCCCCAAGCAAGTCCCCTGCCCACACTCTCTATCCCTCCACTCCCTTTGGTGTGGACTTTCCCTTTGGTGTGGTGTGGTGTGGTGTGGCTTTGGGGGAACACTCTTTTTCAGGTATACAAAACGAGTTATCAGATTATTTGTTATTTGTCTTGGTTCTTACACACATTTTGTGGTCGCCGATGGCTGGCTGTTGCCTGCTGCTGCTAGTTCTGGTGTTGGTGTTGCATCTGTTATGCTTTTGAAGTAGTTTTGTTTTGGAGTTTGAGGTCTTCTTGCATGCAAAGCGCGACAATCATATGCAACACACTCCGAATGAGAGAGGGAGAGAGCAGATCCCATCCGATCTCAGACCCTACCACGTAGCAGGCCAAGAGTAAGACCAGTAGCCAAAGCTGTGATGGTTTTTCTCCTTCTACTTCGTTTCTGTGTGTTTTTTTGTTGTTTTTTTTATATTTTGGGTGAGGAGTTGGGGCTAAGGTCTTGAACCTCTTCCTGCCCCTGCCCCTGCCCCTACCTCATGCACACACTCGGGGCATAATCATAATAACAATCTTCAGCCTCATCAAGTGGCAACAAAGTGGAGAAGTGCAACAGCAAATGGAACAAAAGGAAGAACAAAATTAAATAATAACAAAAGCGCGCAAGACAGTAGCCACAAAGCAGAGCAGAGCGGAGCAGGAGGAGGAGGAGGAGGAGGAGGAGCAGTGGTTGGGGTGGGGAACGATACAGATTCCTTCCTCTGTTGGCCATATTTTAGTTATGATCCGCACTGTCTACACAAACACACAGATGGAGTTCTTGCCAGCAAAAAAAAACCTAAAATCAAAAACAGAAAATTACTTTTTGTTTTCTTTTGTGTCAGTTTCAGTTTCGGTTTCCACCACAGCCTCAACCTCAAGTTAAAAGGTCATCCCAGAGAGATGATTTCTTGTGGCTAGCCACGGGCTCTGGGTTCCCTGTTGATGCTGCAGCTTAACGAACTTATTGTGGGGCATGCATGATGCAGCAAGAAATTCAAATTCTCTGCCCATTCCGCGCTTACCCAGTCCAAGTTCGGGGACTCCACTCGAGTGGACGCTTGACGCTGACGTTGACGCCTTCGTTGTTATTATGGGCACGTGACAACTGCGCCCACGGCTGGGATTGCCCAGCCCCTTGGCCGCCTTTCTCTGCCCACTCATGGGCAGGGGGAAAGGTGACCATGTGGGCGGGGCACAAACTGCTGCACTAACTGTTTTAATTGTCCAAAGAGTAAGAGACAGAGACGTAGCAGAATGGTAGCTGCTGGCAATGTGGAATCCTAATTGCTCCGAAGCTTCACCTTCGTTGGAAAATAATGAAATAATATTGTATCTGTCAAGACACTACGTGTGCCACTTGTGCCTGCTAAACTAGTTTCCGTTAAGATTTCCACAAAGATATGAGAGAGAGAGAGAGAGAGATTCCCCTCGGCCCCACCTCCTCCCCTCCCCAGCTGCTGCTGTCTGGAAATGCGTATGAAATTATATGAAGACCCAACAACCGGCGGCAAGCGGCGGCAACATCTCGCAGTCGTCGCCGGCAAAACTTTAGCTGAGAAATAGAAAATCGCCGGAAGTCATTATACAAAAACTTGTTGTTATCGATTGCTTGGGCGATACACACACACACACACACACATACACTTATGGAGCGGATAGATGACACCAATACACTGAAGCATGGACTCATCTCTGGTGCAGGCGACAAAACTATAGAAAAGGAAGGGAATCAAAGACTGAAGATTAGCTTCAACCTGGAGTCCTCTTTCCCAATATTCTTCTCCTGCCAGAGATGACCAAAGATCTGTCTGCCCGTCTATAAAGATGACAGAGTATATCCTGCCCAATCCAGCAACAACCAACACTGTGGTTAGCTCCACTTTTGTGGGCTGTGCCAACTCTTCATATTAATCATGTTCTTTTTTTAGCTTGAGCCACAGCTCATCCGCTGGATGGATCCCTTTACAGTGTCGTCTTTTGGGGCTGCCAAAAGGCCGAGCCACAGAGTGGAAAAAATCATCAACTTGAGTCTTAATTGTGGCCCACGACAAGGTCAAAATGGTACAAAAGAGAGAGAAACAGAGAAAGAAAGAGGGAGAGAGGTACAGTGAAAA